ACAGGCTTAAATATGTTGAAATTATTTGAGCTCTGCTAATGAACATTCAGCGAGGTGATGCCTGAATGGTGGAAATCAGCAGAACTGCAAGTTTTCGCTGTATTTGACAACAAAGATTCCCTGCACTCTCAGGTCTGCAGGCTGCAGAAAGTTAATAACAGGAGCTTTCAATAACAGTAGAGCTTGTGTTGTGTTAAGCTGGTGTTCATGTTCATAAATCCAGGAACAGAGGAATGCTGAAATACAACAATCAGCATTACAGGGCTGCAAGGAAAAAAAACATTAGTCACCAAAATGAGCGTTGTATCCCAGCAGGAGTTTGATAAAGAATCACTAACAAACTAAAAGGTTGTGTAGAGGGAAAAAAACAACTTTTATATTTTAAACAGAAATTGTTTAGATAAAGCAGAGGTATGAATTTTAGATTTAGAATAAGCAAACAAAGAACAACCTCAAGATCAGTTAGTCTACATCATGCTGTCAGACAGGTGCTATTTAAATAGAGCCTAAATAGAGAAACTCACACAGAGAAAAGCTACAGTTAGAAAAGTATTATTCAATTTATTCATACAGGTAAACAATCACATTCTTAAAAAAGTTTCTATCTAAGGAAAACCAGCTGATTATGAAGACTTATTGACTTTCTGCAATCCCTAACACTGAGTATGCATGCAGGGACAGTGGAGAGGAAAGCTCCCATTTAACAGGAAGGAACCTCAAACAGAACAAGGCTCAGTTTTAGCAGCCATCTGCCGAGTGTTTTTGGGGAGATGGAGGACAGAAATGAAATAACTTCTTTGGAGGAAGACTTTATTGCTGAGAATCGACATTCACTTGGATGAGTAATGTAGGAAAAGGATTAGTGTGGTCTTCCCCAATGCCTGGAAACTGGTGGTGGAATAAGCCAGAGGATGAGAGGGACTGAGAATGAGGGAGGAGATGGGAAGGAGGTGGGTGAAGGTTCGCTTGCATGCGGGAGAGAGAAGCTGAGCCTGGAGCTAAATGAAGGGATCTTGCTAGATGATTGGCTTCAGAGAAGGTGCGGCCCCTGAGTTGATTGGCTGAAGCTGAACGAAGGACATCACAGGTGGTTCAGGTGAAGCCGAGAAGCTGAGAAGCCGAGTCTTCTAGATTGAATTTTCGCTTATGTTTCATTTCTTGATTCTATAAGTCAGAGAGTAATCAGGTGTATATTTAATTTTTAAAAATCATTACTTTGCAAGGTGCATTCCATGTTTCCTTTTCTTTCTTTGGCTGATATTAATATAAATAAAATTAAAATTTTTAGAAAAATAAAAAACAGATAAAAGGATAAAAGGGACATATTTTGCTATAAAGTATGCTTGGAGCTTATGTGTTTTTTAGCTGAAGCAATGATTTGCTAAGCCATTGAGGGTTGCCTGGAAACAGCTTCTAGTATAAAAAGAGTTTTTAATCTGCCTTGCTGCTCCCCATAACTCCCTCCATCCTTCAATAAAACCACAACCTTATGGTGTAGCAGTCGAGTTTTTAAACAAATCTAAAGTAATAGTTATCAAGAGGCTGTTAAAGTTTTGGATGGTAGTTTTGGTGGCAAAAAATAGAATAAGTTTTGAGTTTTCTCAGTAGTAACACTTTTATATTCCAGTAGATTAATGCATAAACTCATTGGGGTATTAGACTCTATTCTTATTATAAAGTCTTCCCATTCATCCTGCTTTCATTTAACCAACATAAACCAAAAATTACACTGTAAAGGCAGCAAGGATGATAAATCCTCAAGTTGCGGTGCAGAATGTGCTAATGTCTCTACATTTGTCCTGTTGAGGGAGAGACGGCTATTTAAAGCTTCAAGGGAGGTGGAAAAGGTGTAACACTGACTTGGCGGTGTAGGCTGTGAAGACTTTGCAAACTGGGACAGAAGAGAATGTCCTTCTATTCTCTTTCTGCATCTCAGAAGGCTGCAGAGAAACAAGGAACAATATAAGTGCAAACCCAGAAATGTCAAACCAATGTCGAGAGGGCAAGGACATTTCTAATGAACACCCAGCTACTTTGTAAAAAATCACTGCTCATCCCGCTGAGGATGCGCTGCCCACATAGCAGTGTGAAAGAGGAAAAGCCACAGTGTCGCTGCTTAAAACATCTACCCTCAAACAGTGCTGTGCCATCTCAGACTGACAGAGACAGCTGATGTTAAATTGTGATTAGAAGAGTTTAAATGAGCTGGTGTTCAAATTGTTGTTTAAAAAAAAGGTACAGAGGAGGAAGTGCAGCTCCAAAACATATTTTGGCCTGTTTGCTGCAGCTTTAATGACTCCTGAGGCTGTGCATATATAACAGTGCTGAATGCATTTGACCTTATTGAGTGGGCTGCATGAACAATCGATTATTTGCTTCTCTCTGCATTTGCTGCCGCCTAGAGTGGTGTACAAGAAAGATTGCTTTATGACTGTGAAAGAGATTCCACAGCACTGTGGGAACAGCTAACTTTAATAGCTTGTTTTCATAATTAATAGGATCATAGGAAGAATTAAAGGGGCAGCCTGCATCTGTGTTTTCTTTGCATTTAATGAGCAATAAAAGCAGAAGTTAAGAAGTCAAACAGCAAAGGTCTTCTTTGCTAATGCTCACTGCCTGATAAATTTAAAGAAATCAGTCTGTATTTTGTTTGAACCTTAAAAACCTCTTCAGCCTGAGAGGAAAAAACATGAAGGCTTCCATTTGCAAGATGCACTGAACTCTAAAGAGCTACTTCCACATTTTGTCCTGTCGCACCACTCATTTGGATTTCTTCACATTACAAATACAAAGTAGCAGAGACTTATAAAACGGAAGTAAATGACAAGTAGTTTTAAAAATGCTTCACAAATGAAAATTAGAACTGTATGCCATTGATTTGAATTCAGCGCTACTGAATTCAATTTTTATAGAACAACCGTTCATTGCCTCTTCTAGTTTCACACTTAAAGAAACTAAAACATTTGTGTAGTTCTTAACTGCCTTATTGCTTAAGCTCTGTCAGACTGGAGAGCTTCTGTGAACATCCATTTCAAAGTATTGGCACTATCTTTAATGCATTTAGGTCTGGACTTTGAATTGACTGTTCTAATCTATGAATATACTCTTATTTAAACCTTACATTGCAGGTCTTGCTAAATATTTATCCCCTTTTCATACTGGAAGATTAACATTCTCAGGTTTTTGCAAACTTTGTGTTTTTTGTGTCTACCTTAGTTCATCTCCCCATTGACTTGGAGCAGGTTTCCTGTCTCTGCTGAAAAAAGCAGAGGCTCCCACTACAGTGTGGGATGTTATAGGGGTGAATATTTGGAGCTTTCTGCATGTAGGCAGAAACTAAACATTTGGTCTTATCTGACCACAGCACTGTCTTTAACTTATTTGCTCTCTTGAGATGTTCTTCATTTAAACAATGTCTTTTCAATTATGTATCACTTCTATGAAATCAATTACACAAAGGTAAACTGTATTTACTTTCTAGGTGTTTTCTGAAGGCAATTGGCTAAGCTGGATTTTGAGGTATAAAAGAGAAGAATGTTGAATACAAATGTTTGCTGTGCATTTGAAAACCAGGTTTCATGGTGCTTCCTCTTTAAAAATATGCAATGCTTTGGTTTAATTTGTCACACAAAATCCAAATTAAATACATGAGGTAATGCGGCTGTAAAATGACAAAATGCGTAAAGGTTTACTTAGGGGATCATTAGTAGGCAAAAAAACGGCACAATAGATGAAAGGAAGAAGAGAAGAAGAAGCAGAACTGGGACTGGAGAGGCAGAGCAGAGTGATAAATGGTCTGTCCTCTATGTAGGACGAGGTGTCTGCAACTTTTCAGCAGCCCCAGAAAGCAAACTTTGTGCTTGATATTATTCTGGGTCATACAGCCTCAGGGGGGAGATGAGAAGCAGAGCAGGCCTGGCCTTTCATTGCCCGCACAGCACACAGGCTGCATATTCCTCAGTCTCTTCTGCATCGTTTCCAGTAGCTCAGAATGTGATCTGAGATGTCTGCCAGCTTGATGCCTCATTGCAGACACATAGTATGCAGAGTCCTACATGTGCAACAAGAGTTTTGGTTTGCTACATGTTAGAATAAGGAGTGCAAAGAGACAGGAAGTAGGTAACACCATGTTTCACTTTAAATTAATCTCACCTGCCATCTAGAGGACACAAAAGGAAAAAGCATAGAGGCTGTTTCAGATCATTTGTCTCTTTTACTTTGTCTAAAAATGCTGAACTTTACAAATCATTGGGTACGGTACAAAATGATAGACACCGATTATACAGAACAGTGCAGCCATCAATTATCTGAGTTTCACGTTTCATTCAAAGCCATGATGGCAATTTACACAAATATGAAATTACATTGCACTTACTACAAGATTTTTCAAATAATTACATACTTTTTTTCCAGCAAGTAGACAATATTTTTGGTCTCTGTACTGCAGCACATCCCTTTTATTTGTTAATCATTTCTTAAAGGTATAGTTCAAAGTTTCTGATTACCAAGCAGATTTAATATTTTCTCTTCAGTTGAAAGCTCTCAAAGCCTCTTCATTTACTATAAATCAGGATTACTTTGTATCACAGCATGAGGCTTTCATCCAGTCCTAGAGCTATAATCCTAAAGAACAAGCAGTTTATGCAAATGCTATTTTACAGCTTTTAAATTGTTATGACATTCACATTGGGTTTATGGCTGTTTTCTTAAAATGAGTATGTAATTGTTTGATGATGTTTATGTACAAAACACATACTAAGAGCTTCCCAATAAGTTAACAGCTGTTAAGGCAAATGTTATTCAAACCCCCCATTAAAATCAATAAATCAATTCATAATGAGCTAATTTTCAAAGGATAGAAAAACTGAGTTTCAGCTTTAAAAGTATAACTTTGTTGGTTTATATATATAATATATATATATATATATATATATATATATATATATATATATATATATATATATATATATATATATATATTATATATATATATACCGGTATTCCTTTTCAGTATTTATTGGCAGTCAAAACCTCCCTATCAGTAATGGCAATATTCATGTTAACGTTGATATTTTTGCATCACCCTATTCTTTAGCCCCCATTAAAAAAAATTGTTACATTTAAAGCGTATGGTAAATCTAAATATTCCAGTGTTATTAATAATTTGTTGTTTATCTGTACCTAGCAGAAAACAGAGCAGTATAGAATTGAAGTATTTTTACACCACTTTAAATTAGAATGAAAACATTTTCCGTGCTTCATCCACAGAAGTTTCATGCAGGAGGATCAGTGGCGGCCACAACCTCCAACTTCCCTGTGAGTAGAGATATCAATGCAAGTTTGAAATATGAGTGCTCTTAAAACAGAAGATGTTTGACCTTAGCCTATTCCTTACCCTGGTACCCTCAGCTCCATGGATCAAATAATATAGACTTTATTACATTTATTTACAGTAGGAAAATTGTCAACTGCTTCTCTTGTCAGAAATCCTGAAGTATACCTTTAATATCTGTGCAAGCAGGAAAAAAAAAAAAACGGATATACCCAAACAACTATCTCCAACAATAAGGTACACAGCCATGAAACAGATTCTTGCATTCTATGCAAGTGCTTTAAATGCAGTAAAAAAAAAAAATTGCACATGTTGCAATTAAGGCATAACTATTTCAAATAAAAGATGGGTCCATTTGCAATAATTGGCTAAGGCTTCAGTGTGTTAATTATGTAAAAAACGGCAAAATAAGTGCTTTTGCCATTTTGTTCAGTTTCAGATTAATAATTAAACCTGTCCAAACATTTCTTTAACTTTTTTTTGTTTGTTTGTTACTTGTTTAATATGTAAAATCCAATGAATTCCTAGAAATGGGGCAGTGAGTTATAGCTGACAGGCCGTGCTCCACACTGGCAGGTATCTGGGCCAACATCTCCTGCAGCCCTTGGCATCACACCTGCCGTATCAGTAGGGAGGGGACGCTGCAGAAGGACAAAGTAGGTCGAGTTTGGCCTCTTTTTTAAAGAACACCATGTCTTCTTCCCCTCAGTTTAGCAAGGCAGGTCACCACATGCCAACAAACAGAAGAGAGCCTTCTCAATCGTCTTTCCAGCTTGGTTCACACCCAGTCACTTTTTTTTAAGAGACCAGGGTTTGTAGGAGAATAAAGGCTGCAGAATGGTGGATTCTATAAGTTTGTGGCTTCCTCCATCGCATTAACCCACCTGCGCATAGCAAAAAAGACAAAATAAACTGCAGGTTAACTATACATAGTCAGTATTTTATAGCACTTTTTATAGGAACAATTTATTCTGAGGTTATCCAATAGATTTAAATCAAGGAAATACAAATACATAAACATATTGACATTCAAATTATATAGATTGTAAAATTAATAATCACAAAAAGACATATAAAATACAAACCTTACAAAAATAGCTATTTCATGATTGAGTTACATTTAGTGAACATGAATAATGGTTAATTATACATGTTCACAAAAAACAAAACAAAAAAAAATTCATTTTAAAGGATTTTGATGACCCAAGTAGTGTGTGTTTGTTTTTACCTGACAAGCAACTCAGAAATGTTCTTTGCTCCAAGATCATTTAATATTTTACAAGACCAATCAAAACACATAGCCAATGCAACAATTTGTTAATTGGTGCAATATTATAAGTTTCCTTGTGTTGTTCAGGATTCTGACAAAGGTTACAGACATTAGAAGTTACAGACATCTGAAATAATATTTTGCATCAGTTTTTTTTAGCTCCTAATTTGACAAAACACATTGGGTTTCATCAAATCTGTTTTGCAAGGAGTTCTTTTGTTTTGCAGTTGGATAACTTAGTAATAGCCTTAATTTAAATGTCATTAATGACACACAGGCCTTTTAAGAAAAAACAACATTCTAGCTTTTAGTTTCTTTAAGTTTAGGATCTTAATCTCTATTCTTGCTCTTTTTAAAACACGAACCGTGACTTTTTGCTTTCAAGATTAAGCTGTAGAAAATTTTGACTAATCAACTTTCTGATATAATGGACAAACTTACTCGGCTACTGAAAGGGTACACATAAAGAACAATTAAGCTTTGAGGAACCCTGCACCTAATCTATATTTTCTAAGATTTCTAATTGCTTACAGACACAAATGGCCCAAATCAAATAGATCTGAAACACACAATCCCACCCACTGCTTCTGTCAGTCAGCATTCTTTCACCAATAGCAGTTTAAGTATCACAAAGTTCCAACAATCCAAGATATCTGTGTCCATTAACAGCGAGGAGAACAAACAGGTCACCTTGTACTGTATAAGTATCGAGGTATCCACCAAGATAACCTTTTTAGATGGGGTGATCATGTTGACACATGTTCCCGTTTACACCAAAGGATGTATTTTTTTTGCAGGCTGACAGTGTTTGGTGTCAGTCAGAACATCATGTTTTTATTTTATCAGGCAGTGATGGAGAGTGTCATCAGGTTTGGGATGACGCCTTGGTTCAGCTGTCTCTCCACACAGTATAATTCAAAGTTGCAGCACCTGGTGCAGACTGCTATGAAAGTGATGGAGAGGACTAAAAGGCTCTCCCTTCAGTCCATCTATGAGCGGTCTGTACTCAGGCAAGCACAGAGCGTTCTGCTGGACCCATCCCACATACTTCATAAGGAATACAAGCTCCATCAAAATTTTAAATTAAAAATTTAAATCTGTATGTGAGAAATGGGAAGTGTGCAATAACTTGGTGTCCTACTTGTTATTTTAGTATTGTATTTTATTTTTAAATATTTATTTTTAATTCTTATGAGTTTGTATGTAATGTATTTGTGCGCTTTCTGCTGGTATTTATTTTTATGGATATTTACTGTTTCTAATGGCAGCTACTACTATGCACTGCACACTTGGATCCATGAAAAATTTCCCCTAGGTGACAAAAAAGTATAATCTATTCTAAGATAAAAGCTTTGAATTCATTACTTTTGAGATTTTCTCCAACTTATTTATAAACCCACATAGGTAAACAAATTAAACTTCAGCTAAAGACTAACAGGGTTGACCCCCTCGCAGATGAAAATGTGTTTTTTAATGGGCTTTCATTTGTTCCAGAAGGTAACATCATAATTACAGCACAGAAATAAAACATTTTTAAATGTATACAATTAGCTCCAAGTTGAACATGCTTCTCACCTCTGAGCTGTGAGGTTGTCTTCAGCTTTAAAGGTGTAATACAAAGTGTTTTGGTGGTAAAGCTGGAAAATGTTGGACACTGCATCTCCTCCCTGCTGGTCAGGAAGCTTCACTGTGAAACCCAGAAGGGGTAAACTTTCTGATGCTACCTTCTCCTGAAGATGAAGATAGTTACAGTATTAATAACAAGTGGTATTTTTGTTACGTATTCAGTTGTGCTGTTTCATGCATTTTCTTTTTAAGAGTAAATGCAGTATCTTTAAAAAGTAATCATATCATTGGAATGTTTTCCAGATTTCATCAAGGTAAAGCCATAAACTTACATTTGTTATATTGGGATTGTTTAAAAATCAATAAATGAACTAAAAACTCAAAAGAAGAACTAGCATTTTTATTCAGACCCCTGTACTGTTAAAAAATGTAAATATAAACTCTTGTTGCCAAATCCCCTTAGAACTCATCCAATAATTAATCTCAGTCTAAATAAAAGTGCAAATTTGCAAAAAGTAATGTAGAGGCCACAGCAAACATGTGAAAGTCTGTGCTCCGGTCCTCTGAAATCAAAACAGAACTTTTTAGAAAACTATGGCTGCACATCCTCCTAAATCCTAAATACAAATTTCCTACAGCAAAACATGGTGTTGACAGCATCATGGTGTGGGGTGCTTTTCATCAGCAGTGACCAAAAAAAGACCTGTTAGAGGTTGCAAAAAAACTCAACTCTGGAAAAGAGGTTTATCCTTCAGCCCGAGTATGGTGGTGAACACACAGCCATGGTTACAATGAAAATGTTTAGAACAAAATATATTCATGTGCTAAGAAAGCCAAGTGTGTTTTCAGACCTCAAGGCTAAGGCTTGATATAATATGCCAAAAAAAGGGGGTAAACACACATGTGCAGCGCCTTTGGAAAGCCTTGAACTGCAAAGAAAGAGGGATGAATATGAATATGTTTCTTCAGGAAACATAAAAAAAATTGTATCAGTTGCACTGGAAAAATAAAATGGTATGATTACTTTTTTAAGACTCGTTATACTCTGCAGGTTAAAGGGGATTGCATGCTTCCCCTCACCTCTTGGGCTCTGTAGGTGTAAAGCACCTTATCTTTGAGCAGGAACCACAGTTTTTTCCAGTTCCTTTTGCTTGTCTTGCTCCGCTGCAGAGATCCACTGATGGAGCCTTCTTCTGACACTGTTGGCTGCACATCAACACATATTTCCTTGATTAACCCAACACAGAAACAACGTCACTTTTTGAGGGGGGTACTTCATTAATATACCTGGGTAAAAGAGGCAGTCCCTTTTCGATGTCTCCATATATTAGGAGGATGAATACTTTGGAAAACAGTAGAAAGGGGACGGCTGGAGCGACTCAGCCGAGGGCTATCTTTGCCTGAAGCCTCGGACATTTCTCCCCCTGTGAAGACAAACAGTTTCCTTTTAACCAAAACAGGAAACTAGACATGGAGGTATGATTAATGGCTGAATATCTGTGAATCATTTGTTACTACTGACTGATGTCCTTACCGGAATCTTACATTTCCTCAGATAGATAAGTACAAGAGCAAAGATATTTTTCTGACGTAAGATAAGACCTAAACCTTTTACAGATGCAATGAGCAAATAGTCAGTTCTGGTTTCATGGAAGAATAAGACCCAAACACAGGCAAGACAAAAGCAGGTGCTAAAACTTACAGACACAAGCAGCAACTCACATCATCTTCAAAATACAAAACCTGAAACTGAAACAGAGAATTTCTAACGTCCATGACATGAAATAAACATCCCGGTATTACTAAAGGCACTATCATGTATATTTGATGACATGTTCTGGGATGGCGGATCATAACTCCCTGCTTTTGGAATCAAAAATAAAAAAAATTCTCCTGAAAAAAAAACTAAACATTCCGAATGTTTAAAATGGATTGGGTGAGCACTTAAAGGTCCTCTGCACAGTAGAAGTACAGTATAAGATTCTCCTGACTCACTAGCGTTTGAGTGGTGGGATAGAAGTGACCTCATAATAACAGATTTTGCAGTTTAAGTCTTATGGTATAACGTAGTGATTTCCGATTATGGAAATCAGATATCAGCTAAAAAATGAATATCAGAAATTATCAGCCTGCTTCTAAACTCTCAGATATTAGAGAGCTCATAGAAACACTTCAATTCTGTTATTCAAAATTTCTGTAACTCTTTGGAGAATAAGAAATGGGGCAGATATTTTCTTACCCGATGTCGTTAAGTTATGGTTTCTGTTTGAGAAATATCCTTTGATCAGGCCTTTTCTATCATTCCACACTACAAAATTATTATAAAAGCATGGGTGATCGATGCGTGCGTGTGAATGGTTGTTTGTCTCTGTCATGCCCTGCGACGGACTGCTGACCTGTCCAGGGTCTACCCCGCCTCTCACCCGTAGACAGCTGGAGATAGTCACCAGCACCCCTAACAACCCCGCTTGGGATAAGCGTGACAGAAAATGGATGGATGGATGATGATATGATATAGTATCGGCTCATTGTCGATATCAGTCAATAATCAATGCTACAATATCAGTAATGTATGGGAAATGAAAAAGTTATATTGGGAGACTTCCAGCCTCTGTTCTTATACCTATTTGGTAAAATAAACAAGCTGAAAATCAAGTGTGATCAGAAAACCAGCAAATACTGCAGCATCCACCTTACTGCAGCCCTCTTTTGTATTTCAATAACAACTTTGGACACCAGCAATCATTTATCCCTGTGGTATATCAGAAAGAAGACTGAATAACTTAACATCTCTAAGCAGGGTGCAAGTTTGTTAGGTCTTCCACTTATCATTTCATACAGCACTCCTGCTGACCTTCTCCTCACTGGATAAACCACAATATATTTTCCTCTCCACTGTCACTACAAGCATGCTTAGTGTGAGGGATTGCCTTCCAGTCAGTGAGTCGATGCAATCAAGTGGTTTTCCGTTGATAGAAAACTTTGATTCAATTTTACTGTATGATCTGGGGAACTGTAAAGTGTCTTAAGATTACATGTGTTGTGAAGTGGCACTATAGAAATAAAACTGAATTATAAATATTCTCCTCATGAACTCATAGAAGACCATTGGGGTGTCCACTAGAGACTGACACGGGAGTGGATTTTCACTCCTGTCCCGTCCCACTCCCACAAAAAAAAATTGTGTGCCGTCCCGATCCTGGGCCAGAGTAGAAATCTAAATCCTGTCCCATCCCACTCCTGGTTAAATTACTCCCACTCCCATCCCGCTCCCATTCAGAATGACTCCCGCTCCTGCACCACTCCCATTCTTGTTGTCTTCAATAAAATTTCTGCCAATACATTGAATCTGAATTTCTATGAAGGGTCAGTTAAGTTCCTGTTTCTAACTGTAGTAACTGTTGGTCCCTCCATTGTTGTTTTTGAGCGCGGGTGAAAAACTCAGAGGGAGAGCACTGTTGGTTTTTGGGTCGTGAAGGTTTTTTGACTGGCATTACAGTGTAGGCTTCAAGGAAAAAACTACAAAATGGCGGCGCCAGTACTGGATTTTTTTCTTTCTATTTTATTTTATATTTTGCCATCGATCCTAGTTTTTTTAAGTTACTATTGGTTTGCTCCCGATCCCGTCTGCTCCCGTTAATGTTTAATCCTATACCGGGATTCCCGAAAAAATGTCAGTCTCTAGTGTCCCCTGATGCCAGTGTTCAAAGCACTAGGAATAATATCTTAACTCTTGGACAGTGTTTAGATGTATACTTTTGTGCTTTAATAGCCTTTAATCCTTCACACATTTTTACATATTTGTACATTTTGGATTTGGGAATGACCAAATCTATATGGAGCAAAAAGCCTGAACACAATTAAAAAGAAAAGGTTTAGGATATTTTAATTACAAGATATAAATTAAAGATGTGTTTTCAGTTAACAAATATTATTTTTATTACCTCTATTTTTTAGCTCGCTGTAACAGTGGTCACACACTTTGGCCATGCGGTTCTTCATGTATTTTAGTGGATATCTGTTCCTGGAGCAGCTTCGACAAACAATCTGTTTCAACAAAACAAAGACATATTAATCAACCTCCAACGTTAGCAGCATTTCATCCACTAAAAATCTTGTAGTTTAATCTTGTAGTTTAGACTGAATGGTCTTTCAGCAAGGTCAAAAATATTTTGGTGGGGAGAGGAGTTTCTTAGAGTATCTTATTCTAAATAACTTACTCTTCCACAACTGTGGCAGTGGTGCCTGCGTACAGTGAGGCTGAAATCTGCAGTGCAGTTCATGCACATCATCACTTGTGAGACAGGAACAAGTGTGGGAGCTTTTTCTCCCAGAGACAGCCAAAGACGATCTCTGGTCTGCAAAACAGAAAAGAAAAAACATTCAGAGCTTTGTCTACTCAACTGATGGGAAGTTGTATATCCAGCCTCTTTGTGGTGCATCAACAGCTAACAATTTTCATAAACTAATAACAGGCATGGATGTGGTAAACTAGGGGCCTTCAGTGTCTTAAAAAGCAAATGGTACAGAAGATTTTTTTTGTCAAATTAAATTTATTACAAAATAGACAGTATTTCAGACAAAATCAAAATTTTAGATGAATACTTTTATATTTAAATACCTTAACTAAATGTGTGAGTTAATGGGTTTCACCTTAACCACATTTTGTAGCCATCAGGGTGAATATTTGACCACTCTTCTCATAGAAAGGGGAGGTTTTATTTACACTTTAAACTTTGGGGAGGCCAACCTTCAAATGGGCCAGCTTAATCCATTCTGAAATTAGTTTTGGTCTTTCCTTAGAGATTGCTTTACTGTTAGAAAAACCCAATGTTCTGCAGGTTTCAGGGATCTATCTTAGATTAAAGGAAATGGTCAGTATATCCAAGAACAGTTCAGGGACTGCAGTTCAATTTTAATATAAAGTAGATGTGGTGACACTAGAAATGATGAAGATCAAGATAAAGGCCCCTGCTACAGAATCAGTACCTTCAGCCATGATGGAAATTGGCTGCTGTTTTGTATTCTGACGATAAATATGTTTGTTGGAGGGAAAGTGAGGGTCTTTTGATCCTAAAACACCAATTTAACTGTCAGTCATGGTAGTGGCATCATCATGGTAAGAGTGTATTTGATAATGTAGTACCACATTCAAAATGAAATAAACTGTGCTAACGTATAATAATGATATAGGTTGACATGAATCTTCTGGGGAAAAAAACAAAACAAAATGATCCCTATTAAAAGGTTTAAATTAACTCATACCCCTTGAGTAGAAAAAAAAAATCCAATCATAGATGCATCATTCCAGAACTATGTATATATTTTTAAACCTGTATGCATGGACAATTTTTGGTTAGAGAAGAATATTCAAAAATAATTATGTGCACCTAATGATTGCTTTAAATCATTGAGTCAATATATTGAATCATTTTACCCTTGATAACAGACAGTTTATTTCAATCATTAAAGCTCTAGAATTCATTCAACATTTATACCCTTGATGTCTGCATGTGAGTTTAACACAATGGTGCATTGGTGCATGAACATGTGATTTTCTCACCTCTCCAGAGTTGCTGTTTAATGCCACAGGACCTCTCTCTCGTTCAGTCACAGTGCGATTAAGAGTATAATACCAGTCCTCCCTCTCTAGGAAAGAGCTGCAAAATGGAAACACACACAACTCTACTGATCTGATCTCATTCGGTTTATGTATTCATTTTATAATTACAAGATTTTTTCAGCCTGACCCACCTGGCAGACAAAACAATGGAAATGTCTGATCCCTCTATCTTTAAGGCATTTTGGACATTTGGGATGTTTGGTTTACTGACCTGTTAATTTAATCACAAATATTCGAATGTGAGAGACAGATTAAATGCATATGTTTTAAATATACAGCATTGGGAGACACGGTCAAGAAAAACTGTGATTATAAATCAAAGTGAAGACAAGAAAAGATGAGAACCTGACCTTCAACCCATTGAGGGGTAATGTGTTCTTCAGTCTGTATTTCCCATCCTGCTGGGGGTAGGTGTACAACAGAATGTCATTCATCTAAAAGGAGACAAAGCATTCACTGTTAACCCTGAAGAATAAAGGTATAAACAGCTGCAACCAAGATTAAATGTTAGCGGCTGGATAAATATAAAAAATGGGGATAAAGTCACCAGACCAGACTCTTGTATTAGCTGCAACTGTCCACTAGATGTCACTTCAGACAAAAAAAAAGCCTCCAGTAGTTAGAGCTTTCTCAGACCACCTTTTCTCATGTATAGAAAAAAAAATTGCACTGTCTCCAGATTATGCATTTGATTCCTATCTAATTCCTTTGAAGGTAACTTCATAATTGTCCAGTAAAGAAGACATTTGGGACCGTAATTAGGACAATAACTTTCAAGCATAAGATGTAAATGATTAAAAAAAATGCTTTGGAAGAGATTGATTCTAAGACCGTACCCTTGGATCAATTAAATCATCCTAGCATCCTTTATTACATTAAGAGAACATAATCTGACTCATTATCCACACATCTGGGTACATCCTTTTAAACTATCTTCCTGCTCCTGGTTATTGCTTTGAAGTGATTGTTTGAGAGACACTCCTAATGAAAACAAACTTACAATTAAAGGACAATTCAATTTACTATATTTATATAGCGCTAATTCACAACCAGAGATGGCAAAAGTACTCACTTTCCGTACTTGAGTAAAAGTACAGATACTTGTGTTAACAAATACTCTGGTAAAAGTGGAAGTACTGATTAAACTTCTTTACTCAGGTAAAAGTAACAAAGTACAGGCTACAGGCTTAAGTAAATTTACTTAAAGTATAAAAGTAAAAGTAGAAACCACTTTTTTCATGCCGTTGCCTACATTTTAAATGGATGTCTGCCAATAGGACTAGATCTCCCTTGTGTTCATTTTCAATCATCTCGTCGTCCATACTACTATGTTAACGCCACCGCCACCAAGCTGCAATGATTTGCCGCGAATGAATACTGCCGAATCTGTCGATTCATCTTGTAGTGGTGCGTCAAATGCAACGTAGATTCCCATCCAATTAGATTGAATTTGGTATTGATGACGTGAAAAATAATAACGTTAACTCCATTGAAATTATTCAAACCTAAAGTAACGAGCCAATTTTTAAAAATGTAAGGAGTAGAAAGTACAGATATTTGTGTAAAAATGTAAGGAGTAGAAGTAAAAAGTCGCCATAAAAATAAGTAGTAAAGTAAAGTAAAAATATCAGAAAAATCTACTTGAGTACAGTAACAAAGTATTTGTACTTCGTTACTTCCCATCTCTGTTCACAACACATGTCATCTTAAGGCACTTGATAGAGACAATTCAACCAGATTATAGAGCCAGACTGGTTCAAACTATAAGTAAAACCAGCTAATTTCTTCAACTTATTGACTCTTCAGCGTATATAGGTATTGACATTTTTACTCAGGGAGGAGAAATGGATTACTGTCTGGATATTTCATATCACTAGATTAGCTCTTGAAGCATTTAGCCTATATACCTCGAAATTTTTAATTTTTAACTTATAAATTTTAACTTAAACAAGTTTAAAACCACAAAAACATTTTTATGCTATACAAATAAAATAATGGGAGGCTTTTATCATCTGATTATAAATGTTAAGGAGCTATTAAGAGAACTGCACAAAACCATGAGACCGATCTGTTTTAGAATTGTAACCTAGATGCAGAATATGATCTATGATTAAAAAAAATGACAATTGGAGAAGACATTGAAACATGATGGTGGTTAAATAATGCTGAGGGTTTCTTTGGTTTTGTTTTTTTATTATGTAGCAGAAGAATGGGAAGATGAATGGGGTAATTAAAGTGCAATCCTAAAAAAACAATCCTGGTGGTTTACCTGCCAGCAAGGCAGAAACCCTAAAAGACAGCCAGAGCTACAATGAAATGGTTTGAACCCTAGCATATTTATGAGCAGGAGTGACCAAGCCAAGGTCCACACCCAAATCCATATTAGCATCTGTGGCAAATTAGAATGTATTGTTTGTTGTTACTTGAAAAATGATTTATTTCAATAACAATTTACATTCATCTAGAGAAAAGTATATCCTAATATAAGATAACTGCACAGCCCCAAGGTTGATAATATAGTTGCAACTGTTGAAACTTAAGTTTTACTATAAGTTCCATAAAAGCATTAAATATATACTATATCTTCTTGAAAATAATTAAATGCATTGCAATACCCTTGTGTGCTGACTAGGATTCCAGCTGCACAATTTAATGCACCTGTTTAATAAAACAGCCTTAGTAAACAGGTTTCATTTGCAAGTGATATTTGAAAGGCTATGACTTTAATTCAGGTTTCTTCAGTTCAATGTACTTATATGGCACCAATTCACAACATACAGTATGTCATCTAAAGCTACAGGGAAAGACTTTATGTTCTGATATACAGCAAAAATTTGCTTGTATTTTGCTAAAAAATATTAATGGTTTCTTAAGCACCTTCAATTGTCACTATAAGTTTATCATCATCTTAAAAACATGGATCAAATCTGTTAACTGGCTTCATCAAAATCACCAAAAATTATTTTTGAAATGCCCGACAGAACATAAATTAAATCAGTGACAGTCATAGGTCGAAACTTAACTTTAATTGAAACTTTAATTGAATGTGTCAAGTAATTTAAAATCTGTATAGGGTGTGCATCTCTTCCACAAACTGGCTCAACGCACTATTATTATGTTTGCTCAAACATTATTTGAATATGGTTAGAGTTAAGTAGCTAACAACACGGACACATGAAGAACGGTAGGATGTCTGTGTGGATCTTACAGATCTCAGGGAGCTGAGTGATCCCTGCAGCCTTCCTTCTACCGGCAGTAAAGCACCGGTTCAGGAACTTAGCATTCAGAAACATCCTGCCAGGAAACCACTGCTCCTACAAGCTCAGTCTGGACTTGAAAATAGATCAGGCTGAGAACTATTCCCTCTATGTTTTAAACATATATTTTTTTATTTAAATATCTGTAAACCTTACATGTTTTTACATTCCCATGAAAATACCGTGATAAACTGTACGTGCTGTAGTGTAATGCAAGCACAAGCAGGAAGTAGCCTTTACCAAAAACAAATGTCGAGGCTGGTGACTCTTCCTGCTGACCTTCATCAGGGTCCCCTCCTTCAAAAAAACCTGACAGTTCAAAAAAAAAAAGAGAGAGAGAAAAAATGGTGAAATCAAAAAAGGCACCCCTTACTGCTCCTCTGATCCTGACAAGCATAGTGCATCTGCAGCCGTCTGGTAGTGTTATTTTAGGCAGCCTGGTAGGGTATTCCCATCTCACTGATTGTGTAAAAGGGCACCAACAAACAGCGGTGGAGGGCAGACAGGGTGGGCTGGCCGAAAAAGAAAGACTCAGACAGAAAACAATGCTCTTATCAGTCATACCCTGCCAGGATGAAGCAGGTCCCGTGAGCCACGAACACTGTACGCTATGTTGATCAGACGCAACAGGTTCTCCTGAAAAACAGACAAAGCAATGAGCAGTGATAGGGAGGAGAAGTCAAAATACAAGAGAAGAGATAAAGAGTTAGAAACTATGGTTGTTCACCTGAATCAGCAGACTTACATCTTATTGAGTTTAGATAAAGATGAAAGTGTTTTTATTTGGGCTGCATGAGTAGGTACAAAAAACATTAGATGCTAGTGATTATAAAACTGCTTCTGAATGTTTACAGGCTTACAGAGATGTTGTAGCAGAACCCAGCATGTAGCAGAACTTTATGTTGGGCTGTTGTGTTAGCAAACAGGATTTTCATTAAAATAGGAACATACAATAATAAAGAGGTTATAGAGGAATATATTCAATTTTCCTGCATTTCATTGTCACACGGTAACATAGCCTGGAGTCTTACTGGTTTTATACAATATACATTTTTACAGGCTCAAAGGGAACCTTGTTGTAACCATATTTATGTACCGTATACATGGCAACGGATGGATGGATGGATGGATGGATGGATGGATG